GCATTCCTATTCCCCCATGCCTAGCTTGTACAACATATGATTATACAAAATCATGCTGATCATCATGATCTCCGTATCAGTGGATGGTAGCAACAATAAAATGTTGTAGGAGGAAAAAGAAGAAGGGAAAGGTAGAAATGATAATAAATGAATAAAACCATTATTTGAATTGGATCTCCACTTAAATCCCACTACAATGCAACATCATGATGTGGTGACGACCCTGGGTCCCCAAAGTATAAGCTCTGCAAAGATCCTAACAAACTAGAAAGTCTTCAAGTATGAGTCTAGTAGTAAAATCTAAATCATACTCTCAAGGAATGTCCTTCACTCCTTGAAGGACATCGAAGGATTCAGATTAGATAAATTTGGAGAGGTTCATCTTTAGGTTGGCCAAAGGGTAATGGATTTTTTGGCCACAACTCTCTAAGACTGTCAATTAAGTCTTAGATTTTCTATCTGCATGGCTAGAGTAGATAATACCCACATGGACCCTTCAGGTTGAAGTATTTGAATTGAAAGAAATATTAAAAAATAAAATTTCCAAAGCCATTCATAGCATCTATGTATATATACCTGCTACATATATATATATATATATATATATATATATATATATACGCATATATTCTTTAATATAATTTTTTAATAATTCTTTTTTTTTTTGTTCTGCATTTGTGATTTCAGGATTTATGAGTAGTGGAAAACTTGTGTGAAGCTCCCTCTAATGGTGCAGATAGGCAAATCATTTGTAACTTATTCTTACAAAGTCATCCAGGGCACTGAGAAGTTAAATAACATACCTGCTCATGTTCAGCTAGTATGTGTCAGAAGCAGGTCTTGAATGTATGCCTTCTTAACTCTAAGGGTTACTTTCCCCCACCCCTTACATTTCAAAAAACATGAAATTCAAATGAATTTTATTCAGGAATACCCTATATTTGAATCAATGTGATATTTTAAGAAAGAATAACACAAATAGTAGCACAACTAATAAATTTGCTAATTGTTCTTTCATTATGTGAATATTTCTCACATTTGCTTTTGACATATGCATTTTCACACCTACATCTATCATATTAATTTATTAATGTTCTTCAAAGCTCTTTTTTGTAAAGATAACTTTTTAAAATCAAAATAGTTTTTTAAAAATTTATGGAATAAAACAAGCATTTCCATAACAATATAATAAAAAAAAGATTGCTCATGAAACTGCAAACCTGTTATTTACAACTTGCTATTCCTTTTAAATATATAATGAAGTTATCATGTAAATATTTTTATTCTCCCTACCCTGCCCTACAGATTATTACCATTAGACACAAATGTGTATATATGTATATATGTATGTATGTGTGTGTGTGTGTGTGTGTGTGTGTGTGTGTGTGTGTGTAAAACCATTCTATATATACTTCTATTTATCAGTTCTTTCTCTGGATGCAGATAGTCTCTTCATCTGGACTTTGTAGCAATTTGGGTATTTATAATAGTCAAAATGATTTATTTGCTTAAAGTTGTTCTTAAAACAACATTGCCATTACTTAAAACAACATTGTCTGGTTTGTCTTGGTTGTCTTGGTTTTGCTCATTTTGTTCATTATTTCGTATAAGTCTTTCCGTGTTTTTCTAAGATCATTGAGCTCATAATTTCTTATAGCACAGTAGTATTATATCACAATCATATACCACAACTTGTTCAGCCATTCCCCAATTGATGGGTATCCATGTGATTTCCAGTTCTTTGCCACTATAAAAAGAGCTACTATAAATATTTTAGAACATAGAGATTCTTTCCCTTTGTTCCTAATCATCTTTGGAAATAGACCTACTAGTGGTATTGCTGGGTCAAAGGGTATAGGTAGTTTAATAATTCTTTCAGCATAATTCCAGATTGCTCTCCAAAATGGTTGGATAAGTTCACAATTCCACCAACAATGAATTAGTGTCCCAATTTTTTGCATCACATACCCTCCAAAATTTGTAACTTTCTCCTTCAATCATTTTAGCCAATCTGACAGCTGTAATATGATATCTCAAGGTTGTTTTAATTTGCATTTCTCTAATCAATAATGATTTGAATATTTTATATGACTATAAATTGTTTTATTTCTTTATCTAAAAACTGCCTATTCATATCCTTTGACTATTTGTCAATTAGGGAATGACTTGCCTTCTTATTGATTTGATAAGGTTCTTTATATATTTGAGTTATGAGACTTTTATCTGAGAAACAGTCTATAAAATTTATTCCAAATTTTCTACATTCCTTCTGATCTTGGCTACATTTGTTTTATTTGTATAAAAGTACAAAAACACAAAAAATACTAAGCAAAAATTTTTAACATCAGTGGTGCAATTTTCTTGGCATAATATTCAAATTCATTAGAAACATATCTTGTACAATTGAAACACATAAAGTATTGAATGGCTATGTATTATGAATCTATTATGTGAGTCTGGGATAAAACAGAATGATTCCTTTTTTCCTAGAATGCACCATTATATACTTAAAACATGCATGCAGATGGCTGGACAGGCATGCTAAATTAGATCTCACTTTGTTAAAAAAATGTTAATGTCTTTATGACATAACTCTCAGATGGGTAACTAATGGTGTGAAGTCAGTATTCAGTAAATGTTCAGTTTTAGCATCTTGCTACCTTTGGTGCTATATCAATAGAATGCATGTAATATCAAGATCCTGTCTATCCTACAGGGTTGTTGGTAGAATAAATGAGATAAATTATGTGAAAGTGCTTTGAGTTTTTCGGTGAAAAAGCACTTTAAACATACACATTTATTGTGGACTTGAACCTCCCCCGCTTTTTAAGGAAATACTTGTAATGGACAGAAGGGGGAGAGAAAGCTCTCTATAAAATATGTATTAATATCTATCTTACATTGGTTAAGCAGAAGAGAAGGTGCTTCTCCAGAAATTCTCAGAGAGCCAAAGGGATTTTTGTCATTCCCCTGTGTTCCTTAGTGAGACACAAGAGAAAGCGCCTCAGTTGGAATCCATGTAACATTCCTATTGCTGTGGCCTTCAGAATCCCAAAGGGAAGAATAAGAATCTATATAGACCATTCATGTACAATTAATATTTCTCCAATTATTTACATCTGATTTTATGTGTATAAATTTTTTTTTATAATTTTGTTCATATGGTTCCTGGGTTTATTTTGATTGGTGTATTCCCAACTATTTTATACTGTCTAAAGTTATTTTAAATAGGCTATCTTTTACTATTTCTTCTTATAGGGTTTTGTTTGTGATATATAGGAATGCTGATGATTTTTGTGGACTTACTTTATATCCTGCTTCTTTACTATAATTATTGTTTCAGCTAAGTTTTTGATTGAGTCTTTGGGATTTTCCAAGTATTTCATTATATTGCCTGCAAAAAGAGATAGTTTTATTATCTCATTCCCTATTCTGATTCCTTCTATTTCTTTTTCTTCTCTTATTGCTATTGCTAGGATTTCAAATATAATATTGAATAATATTGGTGACAGTGGGCATCCTAGTTTCACCCTTGATTTTACAAGGAAAACTTCTAGCTTATCTCCATTATAAATAATGTTTGCTGATGGTTTTAAGTAAATATTTTTTATCAATTTAAGGAAAAATCCATTTATACCTATACTTTCAAGTGTTTTTTAATAGAAATGAATACTGTACTTTATCAAAAAATTTTCTGCATCTATTGATATAATCATATGAGTTTTTTTAGTTTTATTATTGATATATTCACTTATGTTACTATTTTCCTTGTATTAAATCATCCCTTCATTCTTCATATAAATTCTGCTTGATCAGAATGCATAATCTTTGTAATATATTGTAATCTTTTTGCTAGTATTTTACTTAGGATTTTTGCATTGATATTCATTAATGAAATTTGTCTATAATTTTCTTTCTCTGTTTTTACTCTTCCTGGTTTAGGTATCAGTATCATATTTGTTTCATAAAAGGAGTTTGGTAGGATCCCTTCTTTGCCTATTACTCCAAATAATTTATTTAATGTTAGAATTGGTTGCTCTTTAAATGTTTGATAAAATTCCCTTCTAGATCCTTCTGGTCCTGGTGCCTTTTTCTTAGGAAACTGATTTATGGCCTGTTCAATTTCTTTTTCTAAAATAGGTCTATTTAGATATTCTATTTCCTCTTCTGCTAATCTAGGCGATTTATATTTTTGTAATGTTGTTCTATTTCACTTAAATCATTAAATTTGCCAGTAAACAATTGGGCAAAATAGCTGCTTTAATTTAATTTTCATTAGTGACTCTTTTCATTTTTAATACTAGTGATTTGATTTCCTTCTCTGTTTTTTAAATCAAATTAGTCAATGTTTTTAGCTATTTTATTGGTTTTTTTTTATAACACCAACTCCAGAAAAGAACTGATAAATAGAATTATGTATAGAATGGTTTTGTGTATACACACACACATACACATAAACACACACACAAACATATTTGTGCCTGATGGTAGCCATCTCTAGGGGGCATGAGGGTGAAGAGAAAAAAAGAAAAAAAGAAAGTTACATGATAATTTTATTATATATTTAAAAGAAATAGCAAATTGTACATAATAGATTTGTGGTTTCATGTACAATCATCTTTTTTTTCTATTCTGCTATGTTATGGAAATGCTTTAGGGGCAGCTAGGTGGCTCAGTGGATAGAGCACCGGCCCTGAAGTCAGGAGTACCTGAGTTCAAATCCAGCCTCAGACCAAACACTTGACACTTACTAGCTGTGTGACCCTGGGCAAGTCACTTAACCCCAATTGCCTAAAAAAAAAAATGCTTGTTTTATTTCTTAAGCTCAGAATAAAATAAATTATTTTTTAAAAAGAGAATCTGTACAGTCACTTCTCTCATTGTGAGGTCCAAGAAACTTACATAATCTTAAAATTTATTTTCTGTGTAACCTGAGCTAAATTCCTTCATCTCTGTAATTATAATAATAACAAAAGGGACATTCTCTTGCTTTTTTATAGGTTCTTTGGACAGCTATAATATGCCAGAAGGAAAATCCCAAGTAACTCCTCTGGGAGAGGCACCAATCTATGTGAATACTCAATGTGTAAATATTCAAGTTTTGCAGGCCCTTCAGGTTGATGCTGAAAGTGTATTCAATGAATCGGTAGATGCTACCAAAGACAACAGCCCAAGAAAAGACTTATTTGACATGAGTAAGTTCCTATTATTATTTTTTTTCATGAATGATTTAATGTAGGCTGTCATGTCAGATTCATGCATCTCATTTTATTCTTTGCTAATAGAGTTTTGATGTATGGTAATAATCTTTGTCATTTTCTAGGTTATGAGTAGAGTAGCTTTGAAGTCATCATCAAATTGGCTATCTTCTGCTGTGAATGAGAAACACTCATTCTCTGTAGTTAATAGGGAAGGAGAGGTTTAATTTCTTGAAGCTAACTTTTTTAGAAATCTTCATATTCATTACTACACAAACCACAGATTATTCTGAGGCCCAGTGGTGTTGATTCATTTACCTAAAAGTTGCCTATAGAAAAGAAAGAAAATCAGAGCTGATGAAGCAACAATGCTTACCTAGCAGAAGATAATTAGAGCCTAGTACATAATGTATACTTAATAAATGTTTGCTTCGTTGAACTGAGTTGAACCAGCCTAGAGTAGGAATGAGCACTGGATTTTCAATCAGAAGATTTGTGTTTAAATTACGGGTTTGTTGCTTTTTATCTTTGTGACTTTAGGCAAGTTACTTAACTTTTCTCAGGCACCTTATGAGTAGAATGAGACAGTTGTATTAGATGATAACTAAGGAAGGCCTCTTATAGCTCTAAATCTTATAGCATAAGTCTTGTGGTTAAGTTCCTGTAGAACTGACATTAAAATCATACCTTCTTAGTCTATTCTCTAAAAGCAGATTGGATTCTCACGGGAATTACTTCATTCTCAACCTTAAAATACTGCTTAGTGCCCTTACATATAGATATATTATTTCAAAGCTGGAGAGAACCTTAGAGATATAAGGATCATAAGATTTAGAGCAGGAATGGACTTTTGGGTTCTTTATATCTTGTTCAAGTTCCTCATTTTATATAAAAAGTTAAACAAAATATGAAGCCCAATACAGTTAAAATGTTGTAGAGTTAGCAGCAGAGTCCCAGTCCAGTGTTCTTACTACTGTACAGTATTATCATTGTAGGTTTTGTAAGAGTTCCCAATTATAATTAGATGAGGGGCACTCAGGTGGCCCAGTGGAAAGAGCAGTGGGTTTGGAATTAGAAAGACTCACCTTCATGAGTTCAAATATGCCCTCAGACATTTACTAGCTGTGTGGCCCTGGGCAAGTCATTTGACCTTGTTTGCCTCAGTACCTCATCTTTAAAATGGGTTGGAGAAAGAATTGGCCAATCATGCCAGTATCTTTGCCAAAAAACCCCAAATAAGGTCGTGAAGAGTCAAACATGACTGAAATGACTCAACAACAACAATTAGGTGAATGCATTTAGGATCTGCTGACATGCATTATTGTAAAGGAAGTTTCTTCATTGGGAATTCTTATACTAATAAAGTCATTAAAAGGAAATTTTTTAAGAAAAATGAACTAATAGTGATTGATATAAGAACTGACATAACTAACTCCATTTTGTTCTGTATTCGCCATTTTTGTTGTGTATGATTCCTGAAGGACTAAGCTTATAAGAGTAGATTTCCTTCACTGTTTTTTCCCTTATCTAACTGCTACAAGAAGACTTAATCAGTACAAAGGAGGACTTCAACAGCCCAAGGATGTAGGCTCCTCTTCTTTTCTTTTCCCATAAGTGATGTATGATCTTCTTTGACTTAATGTAGCTAACTATACTCACAAGGACACATATATTCTTTCTTTATCTCTTGTAACAAGCGAAATACATTTTCCTTAACAAGCATAGTTTTTTTCCCTTTGTATAATCAGTTTTACTATATATATAATCAGTTCACTATATTTAATCAGTTCACTATAAGAGCAGCCATTTTCCCCATCTCATGTAACTTATAAATGTTATTAGTTGAGTTGTGAGGGACATACATGTTCATCAACTGCTAGTATCTCACTCTCAATGAATAAACTTCAACTTTCATCTCTCTGTCAATGGTGCTGGCATATTGGCAGTGGCTAGTCAAATGGACCAAGAGAAAATTCACAAAGCAAAATTATAAATCAAATTCCACCCCATACTATTAATTATCAGTTAACTGTTTCTTTTTTCCCAAGTGAATAAGTTTTGGAAATTCAAAATAACTTCTTAGATCAGTAGCTGTAAAGAATTGGCCTGGACTAAGGTTTGAAGGAAGGAATAAAAACTTCTCTTAATAATAACTGGTTCTTCCCTTCCCTTAACAATACCTGTTTGACCTTGACTGTGTTCCTCACCTAGAGATGGAGAGGGGGAAAAGGCAATGAAGTAGAAGGGCACAACAAAGGATCTAGCATCTGCCCCTCTCTTGTTCACTCACAACTTTTTCATATTCAACTGGACATAAAAAGAAGCACCACTGTTGCTAAGCAAACAGTGTAAATCTAAAGTTTAATTTTTTAAAGTAATGAGGGCAAGGGTAGCTTGAAAACATTTTATCTCTAAGCATTTTAGCTTATCTTCACCCTAAAATCCACAAACTTTTTTCTTTTAACAAAGGTTTATTAAAAAGTACCAAGACTGACTAATTTCAGGACTATCTTTTTTCCTATGCCAATCTTCTGGTGAATTTGATAATGAATAATGAAGTGCCACAAAGGCAGGAAGTCAGAAGAGAACAAATTCTTCTTCCTTTATTTGTGTCCACTCCCAATATCAATAAACTGGATAATATTAGTTTTGGAACTGGCCTAAGTAATCTTACATTTGTATCACACTGTACATATTTTCATGATTTTATAATCAAGAATTGTCCATTATCATATCTATTTCACATCATCTTCATGCTGTGCTATGAGGGTATTACCCTCCCTACCTCTTTTTTTCTAGCATTCGGTCTAGTAACAGTAATAAAATCATTATTACCATAATTTCTGGGAAGGGCTTATCAGCACATTGCCCTTTGGCTCTACTTGCTAACACTGTGACTTCACATTTCTCTGTTTTCCATTGCCCTATATATGTTATATAAAGTAAGCACCTTCATTTTAGGAACTATCTTTTTTTGTATTTGTATCCCTAACCCATAGCATAGCACCTGGCTTATCTTTCCTCCATTCACTCTTATCAACACCACTATCTATAATCATTATCACAGTCATCATTGCCATTGTCATTATCATAGTCATCATCAACTTCATCTCTTCCCTGGAGTGATTCTTTGGGGCAGCACACTGATAAGTGTAGAGTGATCCAGTACGCAGGCAACTTTTAGAATTTACTTGGAAGGCAATTTTGGTGAAAAGAGATTGAAATGAATATGAGGGAGGGACTTATACCACATATGAAACTGAACTCAAAGTCAGGGAACACAGCATGTTTTCCTGAGTGGATTTAATAGGATAACAGCTCTTTTAAAATGGATATTTTGTTTCCAAGAAAGTTGATAGGTGCATAATAAGAATGACTGCTGAGCCTATGTAATGTATGAAAAATGAAGCTGTTCTAGCCAATTAAATAGGCAAAAAGAATCCTCTGGCCCTTTGTACAATATATGGCATCTCAGCTTGGACAAATGATCAGTTGGCTAATATTTCTTTCTATAAAATGTCATTTCTTAAAAAAGCATAACAAAAATTGCCTATGATCATAGGATCCTTGATTTAGATCTGAAAGGAATCTTAGAGTCCATCAAGCCCAACCTTCTCATTTTGCAGATGAGGTAACTAAGGTCTAAAAGTGAAGTGACTCATCTAGGGTTCCAGAGGTAGTAAACATCACAGCAGGATTTGAACCCGTATCTTACTGACCTTAAGTTCATCATCCCAATGTTATAATTGGGTTTTATTATGTTTTATTACATTAATAATTAAATCCACCTCCAGTCAACAAAAAGTAGCCATTTTATTATAACTCTCTTATTTTTAGTTGATCAGATAAATGAGATTTTGTCATTTACTTTCCTTTTGATTGATTTATTGCTTGTATTTACTGTTGTTACCAGGACCTTTTGAAGATGCCCTCAGGAACCAAACCATGGAAACTTTGTTGAGTAAAGCTATGTCCGTGGAAAACACAAGCCCAATTTTATCCAGAGCAGCTGACTGTAGAATGATGGAAGAGTTGAAGGCAGAGCCCTGGTATCAAGGAGAAATGAGCAGGAAAGCAGCAGAGCAGCTACTAAAAACAGATGGAGACTTCCTTGTCAGAAAAAGCACTACCAATCCAGGATCCTATGTCCTGACAGGGATACATAATGGCCAAGTCAAGCATCTTCTTTTAGTTGACCCAGAAGGAAATGTAAGTATCTAGCAAACAGCCAAAGTGGTACCAGTTCCTTGTGCATTTTTTTTTAGTACATCAGAATAAATGTATAATTTAATGAAGATGGTTTAAGCCAATTCACACTTTGCTGCTAAGGATATTTACCTAGCAATAGATTTCCATGAATTATTATGCCTGGAAACTGTGACTTCCTTGGTATATCATAATGTGTTACAGAGCTCTTAAAATATTCCTTGGCCCTTATGACAAACTTGTGAAACAGAAAATTGAAGCATAACCATTTCTATTTGTCCTCTGCCTTGGGCTTCTTTAGCAGTCGGCATTAATATTGACTTTGATCTCTCATTATATAATGTGGAGATGATCCTAGGTTCTTGAAAACTATGTGAATGGAGTACAAACCCTGGTTGAGCAACTAGCAAGTTGAAATGGCTTTGAGTATATGTTAAATGACAGACTGAATATGTGTCTAATGAGAACTAGCCTAGTTGAATCTGGAGAAACTCATCACCAAAAGGTTAATGATAATCATTTTGGGCTATGTTTTGTTTTTGTCATAAAGATTATCTACTCTGGTAAGGACAGGTTGCAACTTGAATGGGCCAGGAAGTATCTACATCAGTGAATCAACAGATCTTTTGAAGTGCTGAAAAATATAACAAAGACAACAATAATAATTTTACTTTAATATCTACTTGGTACATGAGGTAGAACTGGAAAAATATATTACCCTATTAAAGGCACCAAAACAAAGAAAAATGAGGAATTGGATCTGGAAACAAAACATGTGTCAGAAATTCTAAGTTCCTTTAATCAACAATTGAAGGTAAAAATAAAAATGTTTTGGTGAGACGAGCAGTCAAAGCAGCACAAAGAACAGTTCAATATTAATCAAAAACTTTTCTTGGAATTTCTATTCTCCATCATCATTTATTGGACATTTCAAACTGTATGTCCCAGAGATTTCTCAAACTCAGTTTGCTCAAAGCAGAACTCAATATATTTCCCCTATAAATGTGCTCCACTTCCAAACTTCAATATTTCTATCAAAGGCACTATCATTCTTCCAGTGTCTCAGATTCCTAATCTTTTCATTATCCTGTACTTCTCATTCTCCCTGATCTTCACACCTCTAATCAGTTGCCAAATCTTCTTTCTGCCTCCACAACTTTTGCATTTGATCTCCTCTACTCATACAGTTACATCTTTTGTTCAGGCCCACATCATCTTCCATCTGGATTGTTACAACAGCCTTTCAGTTGGTCTCCCTGCTTCAAGTCTCTCTCTATTCCATTCTACTGATGTCAAAGAAATTTTCCATCTGAAGATGTCAATGCCCTACTCAATCAACTTCCGTAACTTCCTATCACCTCTAGGATAAAATATAAACTCTTCTGTTTAGCTTTTAAAGCTCTTAATAGTCTAGCCCTAATCTATCTTCCCAATCTTACTGGATAATGCTATCCCTTTCACACTTTATGCTTTAGCCACACTGGACTTCTCTCTAATATTCACACATGACATTCCATATCCCATCTCCGTGACTTTGAACTGGTGTCTCACATGCCAGTAATACACTCAATCATTTTCACTTCATAGAGTCCCTCCCTTTCTTTAATATGCAATCCAAGTACAACCTTCTGCATGAAGGCTTTCCTAATCACCCAGCTACTAGTGCTCTCCCTCCCAAACTACTTTGTATATATTTGCATTTTCACTTTATATTTACTGTGTTGGTCTGACTCTTAGAGTCAGAATCTCAGAGTTGGAAGTGGTCACCTGGTCTAACCTGTGCCTGAACAAGAATTCCCTCTACCATACACCAAAAAAACAACCATCCGGGCTTCACTTGAAGACCTAAAATGAGGAGGAATCTAGTGCCTTTTAAAGTAGTCCATTGTACTTTTGTGGAATTTCTCCCAGTTATAAGGAAATTAAGCTTTACATTAAGTGAAGTCTATCTGCAATTTCCACATTATTACAAATTCTGTCCTCTTAGAACAAGAAGAAATCCAGTTCCTCTTTTAGCCCTTCAAATACTTGAATATTGCTATTGTGTTTCTTCTTTAGACCGCACATCTCCAGTTGTCTCAAACCTATCTTCATATGGCTCGATTTTGACCCTTCTTAGTCCTGATTGCCCCCTCCTCTAGATTTTTTTAGACTTTACCAAAATGTGCTTAGATCTGTGCACAATATCAGTGTCTTCTGACCAGGGAAGAGGCCACTACAATGGACCTCTCAGTATTTTGGACACTATGCATCTTTAAAAGTAACCTGAGGTCACAATAGCTCTTTTTGGTTGCTATTATGCAATGTTGGTTTATATTAAGGTTGAAGTCTACTAAAGCCCCTAGCTTTCAGAGGAACTTATGTCTAGACACAATTCTTCCATGTTCTTAAACTTGCAGTATTAATTTTTAATGAACATGAAGGACTTCACATTTATCCTGATTAAATGTCACCTTATTAGATTAGATCCAGTGTTCTAACCTAATTTTTTTGGATCCTGATTCTGTTAGCTATTCTTCTTAGATTTCAGTTATCTGTACATTTGATGAACATGCTATCTATATCTTCATCCAAGTCCTTTACAACATTTTAAATAGAACAAGGTCAAAGATAGATCACTAGAGTACTGGACTAGAGACCTTCATCCAAATTGACATTGAGCAATTGGTAACATTCAACAAGTTGCAAATCTACCTTATTGTGCTGTCATCTGTACCTTGTCACTCCATCTTTCCCACAAAGATAGTATGAAAGAATTTGTCAAATGCTTCACTGAAATCTAGGTAAACAATACTATATTTACAACATCACTCGGTCTAGTAGCTGTTTTATTTTATTTTTTGTTTTTTTAAATAATTTTTAAGATTCAATTTTGATCTTGAGTTCCAAATTCTTTTTCCTTCCTGTAGCCCCTACACCACCCATAGAGAAAGAAATGATACCGTTATACATGTAAAGTCATTCAAAGCATATTTCCATATTAACCTTGTTGCAAGAGAAAAAAAGAAAAATAAAGTGAAAAAATATGCTTAAATCTGCACTCAGCATTCATCAGTTCTCTCTCTCTCTGGATGTGGACCACACTTTTCATCATGAATCCTTTGGAATTGTTGTGAGTCATTGTATTGATCAGAGTAGCTAAATCTTTCACAGTTGGTAATCATTAACAATATTGCTGTTACTATATACAATGTTATTATCCTGGTTCTGCTCACTTCACTTTTTATCAATTTATATAAGTTGTCTTCCCAGATTTTCCTGACACCCTCCTTTTCATAGTTTCTTACAGCATGATGGTATTCTATCACAATCATATACCCCAATTGTTGGGCACCTCCTCAATGTCTAATTCTGTGCCTCCTCAAAAAGATCTGGCATAAATATTTTTGTACATATAGGTCCTTTTCCTTTTTCTTTGTTCTCTTTGGTATTTCTGGGTCAAAGGCTATGCAGTTTTATGACTTTTTGGGCACAATTACAAATTGTCCTCCAGAATGGTTGGACCATTTGGTGGACAGTTATAATGCATTAGTGTATCATTTTTCCACATCCTCTCCAGTGTTTGACATTTTATTTTTCTGTCATGTTAGACAATCTGATAAGTATGAGATGATATCCAAGAATTGTTTTAATGTGCATTTCTCTAATTATTAGTAATTTAGAGCATGTTTTCTTCTGAAAACTGCTTGTTCTTAGCTTTTGATTATTTACCAATTCGTTAACGGCTGTTATTTTTATACATTTATTTCCCTTACATATATATTTGAGAAATGAGATCTTTATTAGAAAAAAAATTGCTTAAATTTTTTTATCACAGTTTCCTGCTTTCTTTGTAATTTTGGTTACCTTGGTTTTGTTTGTGCAAAATCTTTAATTTTATATAATCAAAAGTACCCATTTTACCTCCTATGATCCTCCTTAGCTCTTGTTTGGCCATAAACTCTTCCCTTATCCATAGATCTGACTGATAATTTTTCCCATGTGTCCATAATTTGCTTTTGATAATGCCCTTTTTGTCTAAATCATGTACCCATTTTGACCTTATCTTGGTATATGATGTGAGATAGTGGTTTGTGCCTAATTTCTGCCAAATTTGCTATTCAGTTTTCCCAGAAGTTTTGTCAGAAAGTGAGTTTTTGTTCCAAAAACTTGGATCTTTGGGTTTATCAAATATTAGATTACTATGGTCATTTACTTTTGTTTATTGTGCATCCAATCTTTCCTATTGATGAACCACTGTATTTCCCCCCTCTCTTAATAGTACTTTTTTCTAATTACATGTAAAGATATTTTTCTACATTCACTTTTATAATATTGTGAGTTCCAAATTTTTCTTCCCCTCCCCCCAGACAACAAGCAATTTGATATAGGTTATACATGTACTATCATGTTAAACATATTTCCACATTAGTCATGTTGTGAAAGAAGAATAGGAGCAAAAGGGAAAAACCATAAGAAAGAAAAAAACAACAAAAAAAGTGAAAATAGTAAGCTTCAATTTGAATTCAGACTCCATAGTTCTTTTTGTGGATAGCATTTTTCATCATGAGTCTTTTGGAATTGTGTTCAACCACTCTATTTCTTATCCAGTAATAGATTGTTTTGGTGATTATCACTTTATAGCATAGTTTGAAATCTGGTATTGCTAGGCCAACTTTCCTTCAGTCTTTTCCACATTGATTTCCTTGATATTCATGTCCTTTTGTTCTTCCAGATGAATTTTATTATTATTTTTCTAGAACTATAAATATAACAAGATAATTCTTTGGTAGTTTGATTGCTATGGCAATGAATAAGTATATTAATTTAGGTAGAATCATCATTTTTGTTTTATTGATTTGGCCTATCCATGAGCAATTAATATTTCTCCATTTGTTTAGAATTGGAAAGAACAAAGTAAAAATTAGCACTAGAGAGTTGAAAGGATAAATTTGAAAATAATGATAGCATCTAGCTGCCCCCAATGGTTTAAGCCATCAAGCCAGATAAACTAAATTTTGGGG